CTCTCTCTCTCTCTCTCTCTCTCTCTCTCTCTCTCTCTCTCTCTCTCTCTCTCTCTCTCTCTCTCTCTCTCTCTCTCTCTCTCTCTTCCTTTTCCTCACCGTAACTCTACTAGTTAGCAGAAGGGGTAGTGTAGATCAGTCAAGGCTGTCTTTACTGTTGAATCGTTGAGGATCAGGTTGCAGGTGAAGGGATAACGTGCCGAGATGAGGGAGACTTAGCGGAAGTGCTGGTGACTCTATGCAATTTCTGACTGATCAGACCTTCCTTGCTTGTTGAGAGATGTTGGGTATAGATACAACGGGAAGAGTTTGGGTCTGATAAGTAAGATTGACTGCAGGGTGTTGGTTACCGTATTCCCCGGCTTTGTTCTTTCTTTCTTTTTGTTTTTTCGTAAGACAGGTCCTGATGGCCCTGGCTTATATCCATTCTGGGGAGCATCCGTCCGGTTCCTATTCCACCGGCAAGTCAGAAATACAACAAGAACACCCTCACGCTTCCTTCTGTTTGGCCGGAAGGTCCCCTGGACAGCATTGATTTTTCCTGGTATCTGGAGGATTAACTGTCAGGTTGTCTTCCCTCCACCCTTCCTCTCAAATCTACTTACCCAAACCTGCCAGATCTAGCGTGAAACCAAGAATAGATCCTTGTACTCTGTTTGACTGTGAGTCCGGTAGGGAAATCTACGTTGTCTACGCACCTCAACACTCCGAGCAAAACACACGTGACCAATGAGAGGCTATGGCGGACCAAGGGGTGACGACCAATTCTTGGTAGGGGAGGACAAGGGAATAGGTGTGAAACCGGGTTTTGACAATAACAAACCCGGAATCTACGAAAATCGCGCAGCCCGCTCCGCTCAGGAAGTGATAAGGACCACCTATACGAGCGATCGTGCTACGGACATCCCATTCGCAGATGTCTTCTAATAGGGAAAAGGGGAACGATCGACCCAAGAAGGGCATCGAGCAAAAATGCAATCCGAAGGCACACTGTCCATATCCCATGTTCATCTGCAGTTTTCCATATGCAAAAACATAAGCAAAAGTCCAAAGTGTGCATCAAGAAGCATCCAAACATGCATTCACATTCCATTCGTTCAGTAGCGCACTCCATGCATCTTTATATTTTGAAAAGGAAATGCGAAGTTAAGAGAAGGAGAAAGAAGAAGAGATTCAAGAGAGACTAATGCAAGCCAGACGAGAAGACGATAAGGAGACAATGATCAGAGAACACACTCAATTAAGACTCAAAAAATTATCATGTTAGCCCGCCCTGTCACCTCACACCTCACACCCACCAACTCAGTGCACAGCTCATTTCCAAACTCAGTATAGGCAGTCTGTCACCTCACACCCACCAACTACCTAGAGTTGTCACCCCGCTTAGCCCGATCACACAAGCGAAGCTTGCCTGTGCCCCCCAGTCCATTGCAGTGACATGTCAACCCTAGACGATCGCCATCAGCTCGTCAGATTGCTCAACTCTGCAACTCACCTCACAGTTCTTGCAACTTGCTAGTCGATCCCCTCAATCGCGCTAACTCTAAAAGTTAGATTAGAGAGAGATAAAGTTATACTTCCTAAATGTATAGCGGAGAAGGCATGCTCGGGACAGAGTAAGTGCGTATGAACTGCATACCTGGACCACGACGTGGGAAACTTAGCCACACTCCACGCATCTTTCCCAATTGTGTAGTTTCATCCAATGAGAAAGGGAGAAGTAAGAAAATGCATGAGCGCCAAAAAGAGCAACGGGGGAAGAAAAGGTAGTTACACCCAATGCTCAAGAACGGGAGGAAGTCGGGTTACACTTGAGAGCATAATTGAGGAACAAGGAGCGTAAAGAACTGCATGCTCGAGCAAGAAGCAGAGTTTAGTTACACCTTGCACCCATGTAGAAATCGGTGAGTCCAAAATCGAAAGCTGATTAAATCCTAATTATGAAGAAAAGCCTCATTAATGCGTGCGAGCTACTGTGCCGCCTACAATAATTCAAAATTTAAATGCCATAAACGGCGTCGAAGCGAAACAAGTCACAAGTTGCAAAATACCATGGCTGCGCCGGACCCGGAACCGGACATTTCCGGACATGGAACCGGACCCGTGTCCGGTAGTTTTCGGACGTCCGGAATTCCGGACATTTCCGGACCTCCGCACATGGGGGATCCAGACGGTCCGGATGTCTGGACAGGTCTGGAAATGTCCGGACCATTAAAAAAATAATAATAATAAAAAATCTGAAAAAAAAGTATGCTATGCAGAATAACAATGAAAACCACTTTTGCCTCAGAGTCATGTCAGAATTCCTAACCAAACTTGAGTTACAAGTCAAAAACTATAAAAAAGCTTTGAAAAAGACTTTAAAAACTAACAAACGGTAATGAATTATTAATAATTAAAAATTTGGGGTTGTCTAATGAATTATAATATAGTCCTGGACCGTTTTTTTTTGTTTTTTTTTTTCCTCGAATTTTGGCAGATCTGGACCTTCCAGACCGGACGTCTGGAGTCCGGACTGAATCCAGACCGTCTGGACGGCGGTCCGGACGTCCGGATCGTAGCCATGCAAAATACCCTTCCTTCATTTGAACTTGGCCTATCGTACATTTGCAAAAATAAGTTCAAAAGATAGAGGGGCAACAATAAAGATCAGCCCCATAACAGTACATAGGCCTGCTTTGAGCCAACGACCGAGTGTGTAGGAAATTGCGCACAAACAGATCCTGGTCCGTCACATCTTGGCTTCTTGGTTTTAGAGGGGTGAAAACATCATCTTCCGGCCCACGATTTGCATATTGGATTTCTGCAATCGTATCAGGTTCCATTCTCCTTGTACTTTCTAATTGCACTTATGTGGGAAATTGTCAGGGAGGGCATGTCTGACGACCGGGCTTCCATCGCTGCCCCTACTCCCCCCATGTTAGTTGCTACATGGAGCCCCAAAGGCGGTTGTCTGCTACGGTGCAGGTGACACCCAAACCCAAGAAATATGTTTCCACAACACCCCTACCACCAACCTCGTTGGTTATGGTATGCGCCAAAATTGCAGCCCTCCATAGTTTCAATTGCCAACGATCAATCCATCTGGCGAAGGACTGATCGGCCCCTCGGCTGCTATGAAACACCCGCGGACGCGTCCGCGGGTCCAATCTCGGATGGCGGACGCAGATGGGGCTGCGTCCGTGGCCAACCTGGTCCACGCCGCGGACCCGATTTTACCAGAATTTTCCTGAAATAAATAATAGGTTAAAAACAAAAAAGCCCTACAACCCCATTTTTTTTTTTTTGGAATCCGACTTTGTTTAGGATTTTTAAAAAATCAAAAACTAAATTCGATTTAAAGAAAATTAAAAATATATATATAAAGAAAAGCTGGATTTTTTTTTTGACATTTTTTATCATCAGATATATGGTCCCTGAGTTCACCTGTATTTTTTAGAAATGAATTTCTGTTGTTTGCAGGGGTATGAGGTGTTTTAGGAAAATAAAGATGCAAAATTTGAAAATAAATAAATAAAAAAATCTTGAAAAAAAAGGTTTGATTGATTGATTGATTGTGAGTGTGTGTGTGTGTGTGTGTGTGTGTGTGTGTGTGTGTGTGTGTGTGTGTGTGTGTGTGTGTGTGTGTGCGCCGGGGAAAGGC